ATGGCGAACGGCGCTGCTGCTGCGGCCGCTTGCCTCTACTCTCTGCCAGCTGCCGTTTGATTTTCCTTTTCTTTTCTTTCTCCTTTTCGCGGGCGGCGCTTTACATCTTGTTTGATAAATGAATTGTCACGTTTCTGCTTATCTCATTTTCGCCAAATTGGAGCCTGGCCGTCTGCCGTTCATTATCTTTTATAATTGCGACCTGATTGTTCCCGAATGAGAAGCCGCGCGAAAGGGACGTACCTCGTTCGAAGAGAAATTTACACCCACGAGTTTGCTTCATCGTTGAAAGTCCCTTATTAACTGAAGCGCCAGCCATTCGAGCGATTCGAATTGGCGCGATCAATTCCGTCATTACGCAAGGTGAAACTGAAGTGAAATACCGTCTGTCAATCAAAAGCGCACGCGTGGATCTCCGAGTCCCTCGTGTGTGGCAAGGAATAAGGCATATATCAAGGAAAGCGCCAAGCGACAAGTCACGCGAGCTCGTTTCGCGTTCTGCTTGCGATATAAGCGGAAGCGGCGGCAGGGCGTTCCGGGCCATCAATTTTTCTAGGCCGCTGCCCGCGCGCGCCACAATATTTGTCGCGCAGCCAGCGAGAAGTCATGCGCCACTCTTATCAATGTTTTATTCATCTCGCGCAATGTAAACACGCTGGGCGGGCGAGATAATGTAGATGCCCTCTTTCTTTATTAAACCTTTTTTTTTCGTTTTTTTTCTCGTCCCAAAAGAACTTCGCTTGAAAATCAAATTGCGACGTTACATTGTTTCCTCTCATTTACATGGCTTTGTCCCGGTAAGAGAGAGAGAGAGAGAGAGAGAGAGAGAGAGAGAGAGAGAGAGAGAAAGTATATCTCTCCAACATTGCACGAGAACTCGTCGCAGTTCTAGTCTTTTGTCAACGCTTTTCCTCCTTGCATATACGAGTAAACTTACAACATTCACCGCTCAAACTCGACTATTTTCGCATTCTGAATATCAAACGTGCGAGTCTGTACGGGAAACTATATCGAATCACGAAAAATAGCAACTTGTCAAATTGTCGAAATTCCTGCCTCTCTCTCTTTCTCTTTCTCTTCGGATGGTAGAACGTACGACGCGTACATTAAATTTCCATTGGCATTCTTAATTTCGCCGAGCTGGCGCACGTTCAACCCCAAAAGGCATAAAAAAATACGAGTTCAATTCGAAAATTCCCCTGTGGTCGTTAAGCTCGATCACGCATAGGGGGCCAATGAGTGATCCTGGAAGGAAAAAATTCCAATTACAGTGGGATATCGCGAGCAGAAAGAGATAGATAGACAGATAGATAGAACGCCGAGCTCGTGTGTGTTATAGTCTCGGTAGCGAGAGCGAGAGAGGGAAGGAAAGAGTACACGGCTAAGGAGGGAAAATTGCGCGAGTCGGAGATTAGAGAGGAGAAGCAGCTAGCGGAGTGCGTCGCCGGAATTCGCCGAGCACCTCCGTGCAGCACCTGCCAAAGAGGTATTACACGTGCGCGGCAACTCGAGGCAGCGGCGGCGGATGCGCGGAACACGCGCGCCAGTTTTACCCAATTAAACTTCGCTACATAGTTACATGCCGTTGCTCCAAACATTTCATACCGGAGTTTAGCCCTACTCCATTTCGTCTTATTTGTGCATTGCTTTATGCGGTTACGATTTTCAATGAGCGACATCGAAATTATTTTCTTAACGGCCGCGTCAAGCGTTCGGTTGAATTCCCTTTGAGATCATTAAACCGTTAGATCGAAAGTTCGTTTTTATTTCTTCGTCCGGATGTAAAGCTGTAAAAGGGCCTACATCGCATGTGATAAGTTCAATAAAAAAAATCGATCTGAATAAAAGTTTTATAACATGTATCTTTTCCTGGTGCTACAGAATAAACGTCAAGGTGGCAGAGATGCTAGTTTTATGTTGAGATATGAGCTAATGTTTTATTGCTAAGGAATCAAAATCACCATTCTTTGAATTATATCACGATAAATTATCCAAACTACAACTACTAAACGTAAACGAACGACCAAGGTCTATCAATCTCGAGTGCACGCCTGGCTATAATGGAGCTTTACTACTGATTCCGACGCTGTACTCGGGTCGCGTGTTTTCCAAAATGTAAAAACACATTTGAATAGTCTGAAAGAGGACACACCCGTACACATACACACACAACATAGCCATAGAGGAGTCGCAAAACACGCGAAAATCGCATAGGAAGCAAGCGTAAGCGTAGTCAGAGAGCGGAGCTGATATGCAGTGAAAGAAAACCACAAGCTCGGACTTTGGCGCACAAGAGAAAAGAGCTCGGAGAAACACGAATATTCGCTTTGTCCTGATGTACTTGGCTTTACACATACATTAGAGTGATGGTTTTTTTTCCACCCTCTCTCCGGGGGGTCGTTTCTTTTCCGGAAGTCTTCCGGTGACCGAGATAAAACACATCGGTCGCAGCGCTGACCTAAGACAAAGGGAAAGCCAAGCACTAAACCAATCATGAAAAATGGCATTCGGCAATTCTCCCTTCCGTTTCCTCGTTTGTGTGCCGACCACAAGTCTGTCTCACCGCCGCCGTCGGCCTGTGATAATCATACTCCCGGGAGGAATATATAGTGCGTCTTATCTTCGCGCCACTGCCTTTCATTCAAATCTCGTTATTAAACGACCGCGGTAAAGAGCCAATTGTTTTTCAGAGTGGAACAGTCTTGACTTTCACCGTTAAAATAGGTGGGCAAGCCGAAGGCAAACAAAAAAAAAGGAATATCCAGGCAGGGAATTGGAGGATCACCGAATGGAATGAAAGAGAGACGCTAAATCCAACGATAAAAGAGAAAGAAAGAGAGAGATTCAAGGATCACTTGATTAGCCGGATCGTACGGCTGGCGAAAAAGTCAAGCGTGGCGAGCGAACGAAAGAGAGCAGCTGCACTCGAGGAGCTCGGTACACTATAGATACTTTTGCGTGGACGCGATTTCCGTTGGCGAGCCCACTCCACGAAAATTGCTTGTCGGAATTGTTCGTTGTTATCGAAACGCGCCCGCGTGCGCCGCAAAGCAGTTTCGAAGCCTCGATATTCGTAGACGAGAACTTTATCAACTAGCCGCGGCCATAAGAAAATTTTGCATCGGCATCATTCTCGCGGAGACTTCAATTTCGCATAGTTGGCGCTGCAATCGATAAGAATACGACCTTTTCCAACAGAAGAGAAAAGGAAAATGCTCGGCACGCGAGTATCAAACTCCGTAACAAGTGGTATTTAACGCGTAAATGTCAATTTTAAAAGGCTAAAACGCTCGCAAGAGTCCATCAGTGCTGAAGATTAGACCGCGGGCCTGGAAAAACAAAAAAAGAGAAAATGTAAGTAGAGAATGAAAAAGGCCGTCGTCGGAGTAACGAGCGAGCAAACGAGCTCTCGAAAGCTACGGCCATCTTCAACGCTTGCCTAATTAAAGCGGGTCATCGCGATAAACATTAAAAAACTGTCGGCTATAAACCCGTTACACCCCTCCTCGGTCGGGCGTATGGAAAAAGCAAAAATAGAGAGAAAAGGCAAGTGCGTCGTAAGGAGGCCAAAATCGTCGCTCAACGCGCGGCCAATAAAAATGGCCATCGCTTCTCTCTCTGTCTCTCCCTCTCTCTTTATTTTTACGAAAGTTCCGGGGTGAGAGAGAGAGACAAAGAGAGAGAGAGGAGGATCAAAGGATTATTATCTGTATCACATTTTTTCACACGGGCTCGGATCCTTTTAACTGGGCGAATTTTTCAGAGAAAGTGCAATTTCAATTTCATCGGCGGAGGGTCCACGCCAACGTTTTTTACGAGTTTGTGTCCCACTCTCTCGATTTTAGCCATCTACGGGATTTTCAAGGCGAGCGCGAAATAAATGATTTTTCAAACTCAAATGCCAACTGTATTTTACTCTTTCTCTCTCTCACTCATCATTTTTCGACTCTCTAGCTCTTATGATTTTTACCTTTAGTCTTCTTTCGTTTCTCTTCGCTCTTTTCCCTCTCTGTTTATCCTTCTCCATTTTCCCCTTCACCATTCTCATCTTTTCTTTCTCTCCTTTCCTTGTTTCCCTCTCCTCTCTTCAGTCTTCGATCTTCTGCCTTCCCTCTTCTCTCTCTCTACCCAAGTCGATGAAACCGCCCGATCGACTATATCGTGATCCCAGGGGAATATAAAATATTTACATTAACTCTGCGCAGGCGTGCGCGGCATTGGAAATCCGCAAAAATCACTGATATATCCAAATTGCCACCGCTGCCGACCCACTGCGGAAGCACACACGGCTTTATAAAACCGGCTCGTTGCACTCTTTATTGTACTTATAATTTTATGCTTAATACCCACGTCTGCATTTCAGCAATTACCGCGTGTAATTGCTCCGCGTCAAAAGCCAGCTTTGTATTCGTACGAATTCGCATTTCCACAGACGGGAGGAGGATCTCTTCAAAAACGATATTGTTTCAAATTACATTCCCGATTGTTCGCAAAATATACTGGGCTTCAGTTGTGCGCTTTTGATTATTTCATTGAATCGAGTGAACTGCACGTCGCGATCTCAAATGTCCGCATTTCTCGCTTATGGTGTTTCGGGCCGAACGTCAGCTACTGAAAGCGTATGCGTATCGACCGAACGAACGTCATTAGAATCTCGTTTTGTCGCGGAAAATGTTCGTCGAGGGAGAGTTGGAAATTAGAACGAAGATAGCGCATTCCCAATTTGTCATAACAATGTTTTTCTGCTTGAGCTGCATCTGTCTGGCGCAATTCGTCTGTTCGTTTACCATCTTGCCTCCTGTATCCGAGTCGAATGTCGTGGATCGCGCTCTACTTGGCGAGAACAACCATTCTTGAGCAGCAAAATCTCAACGGTCGACTATCTCGTTACGCTGATGTCTCTAGTGCCGTCGATGATTTAGTTTAATTAGGTTGGCCTGCACTTGCCCCCCAATAAACGTGAATTCCCGCCTAACGAGCGATGCTTTCTGCTGTTGCAGCTCGTCGAAGCGAACACGTCGGAAAAGGCGTAGCAATTAACATCCCAGCGCCGAGGTAAGATGCAAGGCTCGCTGGCCGGGTACGAGGAGCCGCTGTTCAGCTCGGTGTTTCTGCACTCGACGGACACCGGCGGCGACAGCGGCAGCGACACCAGCTCGATCACAGGCATCGGCGCCACTCTAAACGCCAGCACAGCATGGCCGTCGTTCTACAACACAACCAACAACTCCAGCTTAACCGATAGCGAGCTGGACGCGCAGAATGCCAACAAGTTCATCCTGCCGCTTTGGCGACAGATCATCTGGTCAGTTCTGTTCGCCAGCATGATCGTCGTGGCGACGGTCGGCAACTTGCTCGTCGTCTACATCGTGCTGGCGCACAAGCGCATGAGAACCGTGACCAACTACTTCCTGGTAAATCTCAGCATCGCCGATGCCCTAGTGTCGACACTCAACGTCACCTTCAATTACACCTACATGCTGAACAGTACCTGGCCCTTCGGCAATCTTTACTGCAAGATCAGCCAGTCCATTGCCGTGATCACTATCTGCGCCAGTGTATTCACTCTGATGGCCATATCCATCGACCGGTGAGTCATTATTCATCGCGCGCGCGATTGACGGTCTGAAGTCGGCAGCTGTTCATGGCCATTGCTTGACTTGACAAAATCAACCCCGGACCTCGCTATCGATTCAGCTTCGCGCGAGGATCTGCCTCGACTGAACATTTTTCTCCCCCGTTCTCCGCAACTCACTAGAATAACTAAGCTCGGTCGCCGCCTTTTGCGCCGGATGACGTACATCAGCTCTCCACTTGTCAATAGCAGGAATAAGTTTTTTGTTCGACCTCGAAAACTTGACCCGCCACTTGTGACGGACTCCAGCGCAGACCGCCTATCGAATGGAACTTACTTGTACTAGTCACACTGAATTTCATCGACGTCGCGGCGTTGCAACGAGATGCAGCGGAAAAATACATGCATTTCGAATATTCGCGAAGCATTGAGAAGCAAAAGTTTTTCGCGGGGACGAAGAAACTGGAAAATTTCGTTGATTGAAACGCCGAATCATTAATGAAAACTTGAGCTTGAATTAACGTTTACTTGAATATAACTTGAATGGCGAGCGTTTGACCAAGATCAGACAAATTAATGTCATGAGTTGCGGTCCAAAAAACTGTGCAAAGTCAATCTAAACAAACTGCGCAACCGATTATTGTTGGATGAACAACGGAATAGTTGAGATGACGGTACGTAATAATTACAGCAGCAAGGTCAAGTGTGAGTCCATCCGTTTCCCGACTCTGAGGCAGCCAGAGAGAAGCACGTCATTGGCATATTTCTCGGTGACCTACTTGCTTATGGGAGCGCTTCCGAGGAGGTTTAATCTCAGTTGCTCTTTCTATAATGCTGCGGTTATATAGCCACAACTATTATCAAGAAAATTCCAATGGACGCGTAATAGTTGGAATTTCATTAGTAAAATCGCGGCCCCGTCTCTCGCATGGCATCCGCGGAAATGCCGAAAAAATTTGAATTGGCGACAGTCGCTTTGCTCTTTTTCACTTTTCCGACCGCAACCCAGATGTGAAAACACGCCTAAATCCTCGAATCCGTGATCGTAAGTCATCGAAAAATAGTCGGACAGCTGGTGCGCTCGCACACACAACGAGGAACAAGGACCGAGGGAGAGATAAAAAGCGAGCGCGCGAGAATGGGGAGGGGTCCACGAGCGCGTTGTCGGCGACAGCGGCATCGCGCGCGCGCTCTCTCTCTCTCTCCCTCTGTTCCCTCGCGAGGGACATGTCAATTTCAGGGAGGAACTCTGGCACCGACGGCCTTGTGCTTCGCGTGTAGGTGCGCACGGGGAGCTTTTCAATCGCACGCGCAGCGCAGTGTTGCGACCGAACGACGGGTACCTATCGAGGTCGTAGGCACGCGCGTGTTTTCCACGCGGCTTATATATCAGCGCGATTGCATTTTGTTTCCCTTTCTGTCGTTTGAACTCGTCGCAGTTCGGCTGTTATCCGATAACTTTTGCACCCTCGACGTCTGCGCTCGCCTCAACTGACGTGCCGGCAAATGTTATTACGCGGCGGTCGCGGCGCATGTTTTGCACAGCTGCACCTGTCTCGACGTCGACGTCGGGCGGAACAAAGCCGCGTGACTGCCGTCAAAGTGATCGGCACGACGAAGATCCAAGAACTTGTCCCATTTCGAAAATCCGACGCCGCCCGATGTCTCAATCGCGTCGAGCGAACGTGGGCGCGCATGATGCTCGAAAGTTGTCCCAGCAGAGGCGCGAAGCTAAGCAAGAAACACTATATGAGTTTCAATCCGCGAGCGCGCCCCTGAATAAGCTCCAAGTTTTTCCGCGAGTGTCAGTCGCTGCGGCGTACCCTCGAATAAATCACAGCGACAGATGCTTGGCAAAACGACGACGCGCGCACTCGGTCGCGCTCGCTCGATATTCACCAATTAGAGCCCCCGGAGCGATGCGAAATCAAGCGAAAACAGGAAGGAATAAGAAGCGGTCGCTATCGTCGTTGCACGCGAGCCTAGTAAAATTAGTCGATCGCGATATCGGCTGGCGTGCGCGCGCCTGATGGATTTACCGCGCGGTTTATCTGGGCGAAAGCGCTCGTGCGCCGACATCGATATAGTTTATGCGGATTATTTTCGACTATCGCTGTTTCGCGACTCTCGTGCTCACCGAGAGTTGCCGCTATTCATACCGGCTTGCCAATAAGCGCGCTTCGGCATTCAATAGACTTTGTAGCTTTGGGAGGAAGCGCGTTGTCGAATTTTCCACTTCGAGCTAATTTCGCTTGGCTCGAGCCTTTTTCCGATTAAGACGATTCCCCCGATAAGACGGACGCGCGGATAGAGAAAAAAAGGATGGATCATAAAGTTAAGGTAATCTCCGCGATTCCAACTTGGCCGTAAAGTTTTTTTTCTTAAGTTGATTCATACTTGGCGCGCACGAAAGTTGCGCGGGAGGGCTATCTTATGAAATCCGGAGATTAATGTTTTTTTCGGACAAATTTAATTTTCCGCGGCGAAGGGCACAGCTCGCTTGGGCACAAATGTTACAGCATCGGAGAATTCCTCTGACTTTAAGCGCGAAAGCACTCGTTGCTCAGCTCGCAGACAGTAAGCCAAATGCCTATCTCTGCCTGTAATACTATTTTACACTTTCATTTTACACTTTCATATTTCGACGATAACTTCCCTAGAATAGAGTGAAGTAAAGATCTAGCTGACACATCGGACCATGAAAAGATAATAAAGATGATAATAAAGTGCAAGCATCTTCTGAATGGCGAATGAAGATCGGAAAGTTATTGTCCATTGATACGGTCGCTCTAAACGACACGCTCATCGAGTCACTTGGTCCCTTTTTAACAAGAAAAGAAATCTTTCTCCTAGGAGTTACGCTCCTAAAATAAAAGGCCATTTTCCACGCGAACAGGCATAAATCACCGATGACACATGAAACAATCAAGATTAAACGAATCCATTCACGAAAGAGAGTGAGAGAAAATTACAGCTACAGCCGATAAGACAACGAAAACAGCAACCAATAAATAAAAATTACGGTCTGGACCATCTGAAAAAGAAGAAAGAACGTAGCAGTTGGATGGACTCTTGATTTACGTCGGTGCACGCATTCGATCGAACGCGCTTAATGTTATTCAAGCCCGAGGCACATTGGCAAACAAAAAGTGTGAAAGGGGAACGTAAACCGTAAGAAGAAAATCAAAGGAGCGCAGCACGCTACCGGGCACGACCGAAGAGGGCGTAAATAATAATGCGCCCATCTCGAGCTAAAAATTGACCGCGAACCGCGTGCCCAAGGGATTTCGGAGCTAGTGGCAGGTTAATGTCCGTTCTCTCAGCTTGCTCTCTCGGGCGTCCGGTAATTCGGGCGTGAAGCAACGCGAAAATGGATTTATCCATGGATCGCTCGGCAAATTTATAACGCGCGCAGTCGTATGGCCAGTCAGAACTCGCATAAGTACCGCGACGACACTACGAGTCGACTGAAAAGTCTGTATAGGTGGACCAAGTAGTGAATCTCTAGTTTACGTCAGCCACACGTTGACGCACGAGCCTTGAGTGTATTTCGAACTTAATCGAATAATCATTCAACTGTCCAGATAGAGAGGTAGTTAGCAATGGGGGGGGGGGGGGGGGTAGCGAGAGAGAGAGAGAGAGAGAAACAGACAGACAGACAGAGAATTAACAATGTGCATATGCAACTAAGTTGTCTGCCCGATTATAACAGTCGATTTGAAAAATCCATGAGTTTTACGAATGGCATGCCTCCGAGCACTAACACTTTACGATGATAATGCAGCAGGGCGGGCAAGAAAAGAAACGGCAGTTTGCCAATAAAACTCTCCAGGGCCCATCCAATTTAAACTCGACAACAAAGCACTTCCCCCCCACTCCCTCCTCTTTAGTCTATCCGCATCGATCGCACGACGTTTTATAGTTCCCATCTAGCTTTCAAATTAGTCATACGCATTAAGAGTATTTGACTAACCGCGTTCGAGTGTCTGTGTTCCTGTGCTGGAAGCTAAGGCGTCAATCTATTTTGGACAAATTGTGGACAATCATCTAATGACGCCTCTATTACGCAGACGATGAATCCGCACGCACGCGTCATTAAACTCTCCGTCGCTCGATAACTGTTAACTTACTGAACGGATGTATCGCGAGTGTCAATTTTAACCGAAACTAATTGCCTCTCTCTGTCTCTCTCTCTCTCTCTCTTTCGCTGCGCGAACAATCTCGATTAAAAATCTCATCATTTCTCGATTGCGAATTGCACGAGAGCCAACCACCACGTTCTCGTTTGATCTGCATGGATTGCCAAGCTATCATTCGAGGTGACCCCCGGCAAAGTTAGCACGGGAATTATCAGGGCAGCGCTTTACCGTTTTTTCTAATTCTCTTTACTCCGGCGCGCAAAAGACAGACGCGAACGATTGAAAAGCGTTGCTGTTGTTGTTTCGACCTATCCAAGTTCGACACCGCAATAAGATAAAACACCTCGGCAACGGAATCGAATGTCTTTGTCTGATGAAAGTGCCAAAGTGGAGACGACAATGAAGACGAAAAAAGAAAAGAGAGTGAGCTACGATAACAGTGCAATTTGATATTGGAGCTTACAGTTATTGTGAAAGTATCAAACTTGTAATGGACGTTGCGTCACGACATTGCACTTTTTACGAGCAAACGAAACTAAAGATGAAGGAGATGTATCATCAATGCGATGTAAACAGAGCTGGAACTAATGAGCATTAACGAGGCATCGCGTAAATATTCGACGACCTTGCGCCGAACGATAAAGAGCCGGTGTGCCGTGGCTGACGAGCGTCGTCGCCTAGAAAAAGAAGAATCGTGTGAAATTTATGCGGCGCGAACTTGGTATAATTTGCGCTAGAGGCAAAGTCGAACGGCAGCGAAGGCAGAGCGAGCATTTATCACCTCCCACGAAGAAAAGACAAGAAAGTTTGGAGGGAGTCCGTTATAGATATGTATCTTGCCGGTAGGAGCGAGAACTCGCCTCACTGGCATCAAGG